AAGTATGCTTTAGAAAAAAAAAGTATTCACCTAGAATAAAATACTTTTTGGTGTCTGGGGGAGCGTGCACACACATGCACTTATTGTGCATTTATGAACAAGGATGAAAAAAATCTTTCAGAAAAAACACATTTTTCTTGACTTTTATGACATAACTGGTATCCTGAGGAGGTAAGGGGGGAAAAAAAAAAAAAAAAAAAAAAAAAAAAAAACAAAAAACAAAAAAAAAAAGTGAACACTAAGAAAAAAAACCAAACCCCCAAGTACTATGTACAATTCTGAATAGGGATATCTTCCTGAATTCGGGGGCTCATACCAGATATCCCTCACGCTCTAAAATATCAGCAACCAATTATGGACGCAATATATAGAATTTCTGGTTCATGGTGTTAAACAAGTTATGACTTAAAAGTGTAAGCATTGCTCTATTGGGGGTCAATGTACACACACGTTAATTTTAATTCTATTCAAAATTTGCCATCTTCAGGGTCCTCTACACAGAAGAACTATGTAGTATTGCCCTTTCCCTAAATGCCACCTTATGCACAGCAACTTGAGCATCTGTATTTTCAACAACAGCTGCAGTCTGGAGCTACTGCCTACAGAAAGAATCTTGCAGACAATTTTACTGACTCAAGCTGGTCAGAAACCAAGTATATGGAAGATCAAAAGAGATAAGAACCAGTAGGATTAACAAATGGAAATTATTTTGTCTTGCTACAGGGGAACCAAAGACACTGCTCAACTGAGCAGCATTTTCATGGGACAAAAAAAGCTACATTGAAAGAATCTGGTGCAAAGTTAACTGCCTATTTACAGACAAAGAGAAACGTAATTCAATTGGAACTCATGAGATGCTGGGAAAAAAAGAAAAGTATTGGAGATCTGTTCTTCATCCCTGTCCCACCATTTGCACAGAACAGGAAGCTACCCCGCATGCAAAGGTGTTGCTTGCAAGATTTGGGTTTCATCCAGAATTTAGATTCTCTGTGGCAGCACAATGCATAATAATCATACAACCCCACTGGCCTACAAATGTTGTTTAATTAGCTGATGAGCTTCATTTCCCTCTTTTCCAGTTGTAATTTTACATAGTAATAAAAGTCTTGGATGGCATTTCTCATTATCTTTTTCATTTTGATAACTTGTACTTATTCCTTCAGCTATGACTAAAATTCATGTCTGCACACTTAATTCCATTTTTAACTATATTTTGCTCACTTCTGCTTACCCCCTCCTTTTCTACCTTTTTTCCTTTAGCATCTCAGGCTCCAGCACAGAAGAATGATTACTAAGTTATATTTTACAATTTATGCCCATATTCTCAAAAGCTCTTTAAAGCTAACATCTTGAGTGGAGCTACTGTCATAGCCCAAAGCCATCATGATACTGTGGTTGATAAAGTCATAAAAAAGGACAATGAAGCAATCACCTGCAAGTCATCAATTCCCTGTGATAATACAGAAGAAGTGGAAGAGGTCTGCAGGAAATCTGTCAATTCCGAGGTCACTCCATATAGTGCAACAAGCAATATTTAAAGCATTTCTCACAAAGTCATGGCATACTGCTCCTAACAATTTTGCTGGTTTTATGATGACATTCCTCCCTCCCCGACTATTTAATTCCTCTCACTAGCTACTTCAAAAGTATGCAAAGCTGTTCAAAGACGACAGGACTCAGGACTGAAAAATAAAAGTTGCAGGGAGAAAATAATATTAGATCCTCATGAAACAGGAATACAGCGTATCAGAATTTGAAGCATTTACTGACTGCAAAAGTTATTTCTGACATTACTATTACTATGTCCAGCAAATCTAAATGAGAATAAACAGGCCAAGATAGAAACAGCTATAATCCCAGTGAAATGTATAAAATACTGGAAGTAGTTAGTGTTCAGGCAATGGCTGAACTAAAACAGTTGTTGCAGTGCTTCCTACACAGAAGTCAAATCTATATTACTAATACTACATTTACTCAAATCCAAGATGAGTTTTTTTTTACCCCCCCTATTCAACATGAGGGGGAAAAAAAGAATGGTCTTGGACTCAATTACTGGCCTGGGGCAGGTGACTGCAGCCCTAGCTCCAACCTGGGACTGGTCCAGGACTAGAGCCAGAGGTGCCACCAGCCCCAGGTTGGGACCGGAGCTGAGGCCATCATCATTGCTGCCTGGAGTCAGCAGTGCGATGTCAACAGAAGCTGTGGCCAGTCAAGGTCCAGAGACAGCATCACACAGCTGGAGCTGCTGCTGCTACTACCTGGCAGGGGCTGGGGCCAGGGCCAGATTCACCATGCACTCCGTGCCCTGGGCTGGAGCTGAAACTGCCCTTATAGGGTAATCGATAATGGGCACAGAGACATGAACACATACCCTAGTTTAATTTATACTGGTTTTGTATACATCAAAATAATGTCGATTATACCAGGTGTCAATGCCTGATCTGTCCATTGATAATTGACTTCAATGTCGCGGATGTATGATATCGAGTCAAGTCATTACAATTTTTCGCAGGATAACTTACCCTCCTCCATGCCAAAGACTTGCTCCACAGTAAAGTTATGCATCATGCATCCACTCTACTTCTACTATGGAGTAAAGTTAATTTATTCTGTAGTAAACTAATAATACCTAGACTATGCTAGAGGACCTCTACTTTTTGCACAAAGGCTAAAAAAGCCAAAACAGACAAACAAAAAGTACATACAGTTGAGATTAAATGGAACTACTAAATCAGGAACAGTTATTTGGCAGAAAGGTATCATTATGGAATGCCAACACATATTACTCTAGTCACTTATGAATATGATAATCTAAATATCAAGAAAAATGGATTTAAAAGAACAAAGGCAGGGTAATAATATTAAGTTATTCTAGATGCTTCTAAATGACAGAAATGATCAAAGACCCTCTCCATCTGGGATGGCTTTAAGTTTTCTAACCCTACTACCATATTAATTTCTCTCCAAGCTAAGCTACTAAGCACTAAAGGACCACAGCTTCCCTAGGTACAACCTAGTTCCAGTGCTGCAGATTTGAGGAGTTTAAGCTGCTAAAATAGTTGTCTTCTACTGATCAGGATAGAGGTATGAGTAAAAATTGGGAAGTAGGGATGCAGACCTTTTGGATCAGATAGCCACCCTTGAAGAAAACAAGCAATTATTTTGCATATAACATGGCCGAGGAGAGAGCACAGACAAAACTGAGAAGTTCTGCATGCTGGGCTATAGCAACACCATCCTGCTTTGAGCAGGGGGTTGGACTAGATGTCCCTCTGAGGTGTCTTCCAACCCTCATTTTCTATGATTCTATGGCATGCAGGGTAGCTACCACAGCAGCTAATATTTTTTAATCCTTTCCATCTCTCCTCCTCTGCCCCTGCCAAAGTCAGCACCAGGGGCAAGTGCCTCAGTCACCTCCACTTAGTTACGCTAAGAAGAGATTATAAAAAGACTGTTTGGGAGTCAGAGGCAAATGCCTAAGGGAAGCCAAGGGTTCCATACTCAGGTGCTGAAAACTGCGCAAACCCATGCTGAGGGCATAGTCCCGACTTTTGGGTTTGGTTTTTTTTAAGGGAATCGCACTTTTGCTTATAACAACTTGTTTAATTTATGGACGTAAAGATCTGTTCCTGCTTATAAACATTTGCCAAATTATTTTGTCAAGTCCCCACACTACTTTATAATGGACTTGTAGGATGTTTATGAATACTTCCTTTTATGTTATTAGGACTTTAAATTCTAGAGGCATTAGGAAGAGCAATCAATGTTTCTATAATAGATTAGGAAAACCTCTGCCTGCTGCAAATGCTCATCATACTGAACACATTTGAGTAGCAAAGTGGAAATGTGCCAGCACCATAAGAGTACTTGTTTATGGATTCGGTCTTATTTTTAAACTTTTTTTTTTATGGAGTACAAAGTATAAACAAGGAGAACTAGAGACTTTTCTTTTGATGCATCACTAGCGGGATCCTACTGTATATGAAAATTACAAATTATCATCTTCTGTGGCTTTGCATTACTATAGGCATCTGAGCAAAGAGAGCTAAAGAGTGTGTGTCCAGGTGTGTTGAGAGGAAGTGGGAGAAGGAGGTGGAATGACAAAACTAAGTGCTTTCCACGATTGTATTTCAGCATGAAAGCTGCAAAACCTCTCAATGAGCCTGACGTCCTCAATGCAGCATCAACGAAAGAGTTGATCGCTCAATCATTTTGAAGTTTAGATGTATGATCTGGAGTGAGGGTTCACTCAAAAAGAAAAAAAAAAAAAATCTTCTTGGCCTCATTTCTATACTACCCAATGTCTCATTTTTATGAGACAGATGTCCCAAGTCATTTGAACCTACTGAGGAGACATAATTGTAATTATCCCTAAAGTTCAATAATAAGCCTGAATACTTTAAATCACTCACTTCCTCACACTAATGGTGCAAGACTTCAGCTTTCTGATCCATACCTTGTTTTGATTCCAGACTTTCCAGCTTGTTGTCTTCCTTCAGATAAGAAGTAGAATCTATGCTGTTGTCTTGTCTGGAAACAAATGAGAACACATTTACTTTGTATAGTTTAAAAAATAAAGACAACTTGTTGAAAGAAACATTTCCTTTCCGTCAAAGAATTGTATTTGTTGAAAGCCTAACATACCAGTTTCTTTCTAGGGGGGCTGGGGGAAGCCAATAGGGTTTTACATGTATTTTTACACCTATTCTAAACAATTAAGAACCACTGCATTTTTCTGCTTTGCCTGGCGATACACTTAGCCAAATAAATTATCCTCGCTGCACTGTTCCTTCAAATGAATAATAATCATTGCCAGCATCTTCCCTGTATGAAGTGCTTGACTCCAAAATTCAGAACAATTTGTCATGCAGCCAAGAAAAAATACATAGTATACTCAAGAGATATTTTTTCTTTTAGAATTAAATAGCTATTTTCATGAGTATAATACCAAACCTCCTGTCTTTCTTACCAAAAAACTAATGTTATCAAGGAATTGCTTTTCAAAAAGCAAATTCAGCTGGACTATTGAGTTATGTTCAATACCCATTTTCTCCTACAGCCTCCCTGTTAGGTATCAAGCCTGGAATTGCTTCATGCTGTACAGATGCAAAATAAATAAATAAATAAATAAATAAATGAGAGAGCCTAAGAGCCCAGGGGTAAAGAAAATACATTTTTGTGGCATGCTTTCTCCCCACAATTTGCAGATGACATTATTTATACAAGCTAGGAAAATATAAATGAGAGACTGTGAGATACACTGGAGGAAGGAGGATACTGCTCACAGCAGGATATTCAAATCATAGGAGAGTCCAATTGTTAAGTTTAGTGAGCATTTTGGCAGTAAAATTTTATATTCCTCTCCCAATTTCATACCTCAACTGCTTGTCTAAAGTTTGTGAAATACATATTATATTAATAGGTAATCAAGGCAACCAACCTCATTGCAGGAGCTCAATCAGACCATAAAAAGGATATTACTACCAGAGATCTTACTGTATTTTCATTTTACAGGCTCAGTTCTGATGACCTAACCAGTTATTTTTCAGGTATGGCCTTAACCAAGTTATTTCTTTTTTTAAAAAATGATGGCTACAGATCCATTTTTCTAGTGGACTACTAAAGACCTTATTCGGATTAGTATGCCTGGCTACCAAGTCAATGCAGAGCAGACCTCTTTACTTGGTTTTCTATTCCTAACCATCCTGAGTCTTGTTTCCACAGGCTACTCAGATGCAGGTGAATTTGTTAGTTTGATGGCTACTTCCCCTCTGCAGAAACAGAGGCTGCAATCAATTCTGATTGGCTCTCTATTTCTCTCACAAATTTACATAATTATAGCAACATAAACAAGCATTCAGTTATACAAACAAACAATTGAGAAGCTGACTAGCCACTCGCACAGATGCAAGGGTCGCATAAAACATTATGAACATTTGGTCCTACTGGAGTACATCACTGACAGGGTTATGTGCTGCTTCTTCTCCATAAGACGTTTCAAAGCAGAGGTGAAAGAGAAATAGAAACCAGGAAGAAAAAAGCCCAGATAAGGCAAAGGAGCATTATTAAGCAAGGAGTTTGCTTACAGAATCTGCTTATTCCTGATCCGACTTTTCCCCCTATCATGCAAAAACATTTTATTTTTACTTGCTCTCTTGCAGCAGCCAGACCTCTATCTGGAAGACCACAGATGTTTCAGGCTGGATTACAGGTTTTAGCGCACAGATTTTCTAAATAAAAACAGGATTCCAAGAGAAAATTAGCTCTGCTTTATGTGATCCTTTAGACACATTAAAAGCAGGTTCCGATTTTTCTTCCTCCCCTGGCAGCCCCACAATCAAATGTCCTATTCCCTTCCTTTTGCCAAGGGGAGTAACTGAATGGCAATCTCCATTGTTGATGGCAGTATTGCTGCTCCTTGGCAAGGAGGCATGGACTGATCTTATACAACCAAACAGTTTCCAGGAGGAAAAAAGCCAAGAAGATTCACCTCTTTGGTAATTAAAGTTCCCGCTGTCCTGAGTCTTAAAGCCAAATTTCATTCAGGAATCAAATCACACATTTGGCAGCAGCCTACCAGCAAGCTCTTATGTTTAACTATGCCATTTGCATCAAGCACAAGCAGTGCAGATAGTTATGTTCTTTTATTTTTTGTTATATAAAAAGAATTTTCTATCAACTGGAAATCTAACATGCTGCAGAAAACACTCACAGCTCTGTAACCCACATCAACTGTTTCAGTAAAAATACATCCCCTCTGTAAAGAGCCCCTTGTGTCAATAAAGAATTTTGGGGGGTCCCAAAGGTGATCTTTTGCAGGCCATTTTATTTTGTCATAACAGGCTGGGTTGGACTGGACTGCTGATGAAACTTCACCAGCTGGATTTTAATAAGTAGGTGTGTTGCACCATCTTGTGGCCAAGCCGTGGTAGGGCAGTCTATATTTGGTTTGAATTCTTAATAAAACATTTAACAGGTAAGAACAGAGAGCCAAATTTACTAGGTCATTATGAATTCACACTGGTGTAACCACACACCTACTAGCTATAAACAGATTTTTTTTCTTAAACCAAATGAAGTATCTCTGTATTTCCTCAGCTACAGGATGCAGGTAATACGCTATTGTAATATAAATGCAATGCCTCTAAAAGGCATTCCCCTCACTTTCTTTCCAAACTCAGCTAATGAATGACAACTAAAGTTTGAAGCTTCCTTCCCCTCCTCCTGTTAGAAAAGGAAAAGTACATTTCTCCTGACTGAGTGCTAAGGAATCAATGCACCTAACAGTGGACAAAACTCAAACATCGATCGCTACATCAACTGCTTCAGAGAAAGAATGAACAATGAAATACTCAACAACAAACACCACTATAACAACTTCTGCCTCTCAGAGAGAAGGGCCATAGAATCTCTACAATCCAACAACCAAATAGTAATATAACCAGCAGATAAAGGAGGAGCCATAGTTATCCTTAACTGTGAAGACTACATAAAAGAAGCCAACAGACAACTCTCTGACACTACCTCCCATAAAAAAAAAAATTAGAGGACGGTCCTACTTCCCTTTTCTCCTCCAAACTCAAAACCACCATCGCATCGTTTCCATTGGAACTACAAGAAAAAATTCAGACCCAGATCCCTCCACTACCCAATCCAGGGACCTTTTACCTGCTCCCTAAAATCCACAAACAAGGAAACCCTGGCAGACCTATTCTTTCCAACCACGGAACCCATAGGCGATGCATAGGAGAGGTACGGGAGGCACGTGCCCCCCTTGAGATTGGCCCTCACTGGCCAGGTAGTGGGGGTGCCAGGTAGAAGCGCCAGCTGGTGCCACGCCTGAAATTAAAGAAGTGCTGAGAGAAGTGCCAGCAGCACTGCGATTGGCCACTGGAGGACCTCTCCTGCCCCCGTCCCCTCCCCCTCCCCAAGTCTGAAGGCACCAGTCGCCCATGATGGAACCCTCATGGAAGAAATATCAGGTTTCATCGAATCCATCTTAAAACTGCTCATCGCCCAAAGACCAAGTTTTATCCAAGACACAACTGACTTCCTGCGAAAACTTAAAGACATAGACCACTTTCCCAGCAATACCCTCCTAGCCACCATGGACGTCACTAGCTTACACACCAACATCCCGCACCAGGATGGCATCCAAGCCTACCTCACATATCTACAAGATCACAACCCAGAATACAGACCTCAGGATATCACTGAACTCAAATACTTCATCCTCAAACACAACAACTTCAGTTTCAACAACCAACACTTCCTCCAGACCATGGGCACAGCTATGAGCATCAAAATGGCCCCACAATATGCCAATCTTTTTATGGCCCACCTAGAAGATGACTTCCTCAACATCTGCACCATCAGACCCTTACTATACCCAAGATACATATATGACATTTTCATCATTTGGACCAAAACCCTGCAGTCTCTGATGGACTTCCACCAAAAATTCAACAATCACCACCCCTCCATCAGACTATCACTTGAATACTCTGACACCAGCATTTCCTTTTTGGACACTATGATATATATCCAAGAAAAAAAATTCAAACTACCATATACAAGAAACCCACGGACCAACATACATATCTACACAAAACCAGCAATCACCCTAAACACACCAAGAAAGCTGTAATATATAGCAAGCTCTCCAATACCACTGAATTTGCAGCAAAAGGAATACCCGTGATCGCCACCTCACAAATCTCAAAAGGGCCTTCAGCCAACAAGGACACTCCTCCAGAGAGATAGATTGCATTTTTGAAAGAGCCACTGGGGTACACGTGAAAATCTGCTGCAGAACAAGAAAATCCCCACAAATTGCACACCATTAGTGATGACATATCACCTTTCCCTGGAACCTAGATGGAAAATCCTCAAACAATTGCAAACTATACTAGAAGAAGACCCCATTCTTAAAAAGAGATCTTTCCAGAGCCACCCATCCTAGACTTTAAACAAGCATTGAACCTTGCTAATCTCATCACCAGGAGCAAACTCCCTATAACCCAAACCACACCCAATGGATCTGAACCATGGCAGGACAAGAAATGCAAAAGCTGCCAACACATCTCCACCACTCCCACAAGTACTATACCTCACAACAGAACCATCACCATTCCTGGATTCTACACCTGCACCTCCAGAAATGTAATCTCTCTCATCCAGTGCACCAAATGCCCTGATAGAAAATACGTAGGAGAAACCAAACAACTGTGCACCAGAATGAATGCACACCGAAAATCTATCAAAGACAAGAATACCTAGCTACCTGTGGGGGCAACTTCTAACAGGACAACCACTCCCGCTCTGATTTCTCAGTTCTAATCCTCAAAGGGAACTTACAACACACCTTTCATAGACAAGCCTATGAACTTCACTTCACCAACCTACTGGATACTAAAAATCATTGACTCAATATAGACTTTGGATTTATGACACATTATAACCTGCCTGACACCCGATTCACCTGGTACCTGCCTGACCTGACCTCTCATCTCTCTTTTTTCCCCTCCCGT